TTAAAAAAGATCTTTTAAACCGATTTAGCATTTGGCTCATTTTTAAGTAAATTAAATTAATCTCTGTACCTCTGTCTAGTGTTGAGACTGGTTCGTAAACTTGGAGATTTTCATGAAATTCAAAAGAAGTTAATAGTGGTGTTTAATATTAGCAATAAGTCGCTAACTTACCTTTGATTTAGAAAAACGATTCTAATCTATCGATTATTTTTAAGGGTGGATAACATTGATGATTGACTTTAGACTCGCTTGGGGATAAAAATGTCTTAATACTCGTATATTAACTATTTTTTCTGGTATAGTTACCTTTAATTCCCGTGTGAAAGCAAGGATATAGAAATGTCATGGGTATCGATGTCTATTGAAGCTCAATAGAGAGATTACGCTCTGTCCAAACCCGTCACAAAACACTCGATGTGTCCTCTATCCTCTACGGCTTTTCTACTGCACCCTTTAATGTGACCGGACAATAAATCAGACCACCGTGCTAAATGAATTCATCCAAGATGGCCGCCGCTGCCGGAAGCAACGACACAATGCGCGGGATATAGTCCCAGTGACAGTTGCTTCCTATGACGCTTCACTTGCGTTTGTCAAAAGTTTGGACATCCAATTATATTATCTATGGTCAGTTACGTGTTTGGAAATCCCAGCGCAAAAAAACATCGACGAAATGACATAATTTCAATCCTTTCCATTTTAAACTACGTCATTAAGCTGAATTTATTTCTTTACAGCATTATTGGTCTAAGGGAATTACTATCTCACGGTTGGGTTCAATGCTTGTCTCATTTAGGACATAAAATCTACTTTGATTGCAAAAAAAAGGTGCGCAGTTTAGGTACCGAAGCATATACGTGGATGTAGGATTTGAAAACGATATTTTCGAATAAAGCTAACTATACAGTTCTACATCAAAATAAAGACAATTAAAATTAAGGCCTTTTTATTAAAAAAATAAACTCTAAAGTACAGTTATATAATAAAAATTGAACAGAGTTATTTTCTTTTCGTAAACTAAAATCTAGAGTTACGTAAGAAAAAATAATTCTAAGCACATTCTGGTAAAATTATTGAAACATTTAACAATAAATAGGCATAATACATTTTTCATCTATAGAGTATTATATGGATAGCGGTTATACACATTTCATCAGGAAACGTAGAAAAAACGTTTACTGTACTCCATTGAAATCATAAAATAGATATCAAATGCAAGTATTATTACAGGACAGTTATATCCATCGATCTTGCACGTCTACAATACAAAACTGTCTCACCGCAGAAGGGTTGCAACAATGCATTGCAATGGCCGCACGTTGGCGATAATGGAAGACACGGCACGCTACGCGCGCCAACCCCACGCTTGCGATTTGCGATACATATTGTCAATTAAAAAATACGGGATACTGTATATTATCGTAACTACCTTTATTATTTTAATAAATTGTACAGATATAATGATTTTGTTGTCTACAATCAAAAGATAAGGACGCGAAAACATCAAAAGCTATATATTATTTTCGTTCTTGGGGTTTTAATACGAAAACCCGTTACATTTTTGTCAAAAGAACTTTTAAATGTGACAATTACCTCTACGGGCTAATTCTAAACGAAATTGTTTAAAAATTGTAACCGTGAAAATTAAAGCGCTATGCAAATTATACAATTTGCATAGACATAGAGCAATTGTGCTGAATAGTTCGCCAATTGTTTGACAAAGGGTTGGGCCGTTTACATAGACAATGGCGGACCAATTTCGTTAGAATTAAATTGCACTTTCTCCCGCCACAATGCCTTTTATTTAGTGCACTCTTGCAAGTTGGAAAGATCACTATATTGTCTAAATACTTTACACGATATTATTAATCTGCAATATGTGTGTGCAGATACAAAAAAGTATATTGCAAAACTAAAAAAAAAACCAAGCCTGCATTACAGAACGGATCCGGAACGGATCGGAACGGAGTTGTGGGCGAAAGCTAATATTTATTCTTATAATCAAATTTTACATATTCATAACAGTTTGAAACTTGTAATAAAGTTAGTATATATATTAATTTTACACACACGCATATTTGTAATAACCTATATCATCTCTTTGGACCGGAGGTTGAATTACTTTACGTTGTTTTCTTTAGCACCCCTTTTTTCCCGCGTCACGCGTCGCGCGTCACATCTGTCATGGCGAGCGTTTGCATCCCCACCTCGGACTCTGACACACGTGACAATGTTGTTCCAGTGGAAGTTCTCATGATATACTGTTTATACAATAAATACAAATTATTTTAAAACAAATCGATATTTCAATGGCAATCAAAACCATATCTATGTTACGAACTCAAGTTTAGATACGTTTTGGTGAGAATAAACCTGGTTTTACTTCTTAGTTTAAAAAAAAAAACTTAACTTACAAATCAATTTATTACCTACTCAAGACAAAAGAAACCTTATTTTACATTCATGAAAATAATAAATCTTTTAATTCTATACATTACAAGTAAATATATAACCGCTTCTATGATCTAGAATGCGTCCAACGTAGGACCATATACTATTTGCGCATTGTGCAATAAAAGGAAATATCTGATTGGCGGGCTCATTCCTCCGAGCTGTATGACAAGGGCGGGCGTTGCGCAAACGCACCTCTCTCGCCGTCAGCCAATGAGTAGCGTTTACATTGTAAACTTTACAGAATATTCACTTCGGGAAAGCTATACCTACAATAGAGTGCAATAAAACAATTACTATTCGGTGCCATTAAATCTTCCGTATTTTTCTTACATAATAACTTACAATTGGAATAGCATAATATAACTCTGAAATTTTAGATATATCTTCGAGTAGATATCTTTTAAGTGACTTATATACACAAAACTATAAAATTACAACTATGAAACGAGCTTATTATGCTAACTGTTACCTAGATGTCATCATCGCCGCTTTTAAATTTTATTTGTTAATAAAATTAAGGCTGTTTTTGTGTCTTTATAAAACATTTTATGTTTAATTTTAATAATTGGTAACTACGTCTAGTTTGATGTAGTAAATACTTTGAGAGATTCAGATCGATGTAAATATTTCGCGATTGTTGAAAAGGAGTTCATAACGGAATATTCCAGAATTCATGGAATGAAAAGAAGAAAGGGAAGCCTAAGAAAGTATGCAATAATTCTTAAGATAAAAAGCAACAAATCCTTAGCGACGCCCACGTCCCCTCCCGTCCCGCGCCCCACGCCGTCCGCCGCCGCCCGGCCCAGCGACAAAGAGACTAACTCTGTAATTTATGGTACTGTAAAACAATCATGTTGCAAATGATATTTACATTCAGGTAAAGATACGAAACTTGCAAGTAAACCATATAACGCAGTTATCAATTAATTTACGATAATAATAATTTGGTATAGAAACAGAAAATACATTAGTATAATTGGAATTTAATTCTGAACATTATAGAGATTAACAAACGCCAAACGCCGTCTATTATTATAAAACGAAATTCATAAGGTCTGCAAATTGGTGAAATCGGTGCATTTTGGCTGATAATAGAGAAAAAGGGGTTAATATTATTTTTAACCGCATTTAAATTTATCTTACATCTAAGATTAATCTCTGAAGATAAAATTCAATCTATTCAGTACAAAACTGAACAAATCGGATGGCCAGCGCTGGCTCGTGGACCGTCACTGGACAATGCCCGAAGCTAAAGGATTAAAATTCTTCTCATAAATCCTTGACGCCTTCCAATGCTTTTGTCATATTTCTTTAGATTATAATAAAGATATTTCTTTTGAATATGCATCCTTGCTATAAAGATTAGTGAAGGTGCAGCAAACAGCAATCGCAGACGACTTATGTAACAATGTTTTTCTTTCACGTTGAATAAAATTTCTAGTAACTGCCTTTCACTGCATTTTTCAATCTCGTGTTAATTAAAAATATTCGCCGGACGCGTTATGGCAGAAAATGTACTTTTACCTCCTGTCAATAAAAAATAAATGGTTTATTGAAATGCCTAAGTACAATGTCGTCGAAGGTTATCAGTTCGAGTATCGAAGGTTATGTTTCCAGAATTATTACGAACCGCGACGCGACGTGACGGCTTAAATACGAGAATGTTAGAAGTAAGAACATTATCTAGATTTGTTATAAAAATTTGGCATTTATAAGGAAATTAGATAAGTGTTAAAATACCTGTGCCTCGTTTTATACGATTATGCAATAAAGGGATGCAAAAACTATATATTCTCTCCTTCATATTCATATTTCGGTGTGGTCTAAAGTATAAAGACCCGCCGATGCAATACATTTGGAAAAAATGTCTGTAAAGCGAGCGGTAAATTCTGTAATTGTATAAGGGATTCAACATTGACGCAACACACGCTCGGTTGAACACAAAATAACAAATTACCGTCAAAGCACAGCGGTGGATTATCTGTTCTGTCTCCTTCATATCGCTTTGTTTGAAAGACCACCGAAGGACGGGAAGTGGCGCCACGGTACAAAGTGACACGCTTGCTGGATCCCTGAAAAAATCATTAACTAGCTTAGATTTTTTGTAACCGTACGCGAATAATTACTACTCCTATAATTTATGATATTTTAAACTTAAGAGCTCAAATATATCTGTGTTCTTAAAATATGTTATTAATAACATGTTAATATAATAAATCTATAAATGCGAACAAAATGTACTTTTTAAAATTTTTAAAAATACATGTTATGAAGTCCGTAATTTTTTTTTCCGAAAACTATTACCGCCATCTCGTGTTACGTAGACTAAACATTTGTGCAATGTTCAAACTATTGTACGATAGAGGTCTCCTATTTAACTTTCCATCAATTTAAAATATTTAAATAAAAGCAAAAGAGTCAAAAATATCATGATATCGATTTATATTTACTATTAACACCTTTTTTTGCTTTTGGTTTTATATTTTTTATTTTTCATATTTTATCAAAGATCAATTATTTTTATCTGTAATCGGCCATATTGGATTTTGATAATATGACTGCTTTTCGAAATGAAATAATTGTTATGTTTTTATTCTACCTGCAATCTTCGAATATAAATTAATAAGCAAGTGCGTCATACACGCCGCCCTACCGCCACAACCACCGCTGCTCATAGTATTGTTACCACAAAAACTGGTCAAGTTGTCTTCCAATCAGCTGTCACGTACCTTTGACGTGTTGAATACAAACAGATCTCATTTCGTCGGTCTGATATGCCGTTGCCGCGATGAACGGCACGTTTTCTGAGCAGTTGGGGGGTGTGGCTGGTATTTTTGATCAATGGGGCACGTGCGAGAGGACCGTGGTGGCGTGTGCTTTGGCACGGCGGGTGCCCTGGCCGGGCCTGAAGCTGGTGCAACGCGCAGTGGAGGCCGCCCTGCAGCAGCATGTGGAGGACGACCGCTTAGAGCGCGACGCCAACGACGAGACGCTCCTGGCGGGCTTGTTAGCGCCCAGAAGTGACGATGATGAAGAAGAGGGTAAATATTAAACATTCTATTGTTTGCTAATATAAAATCAACTCTTATTTGGCTTCGTGAAATGTTTTAAAATAGGAAATTATGCCCATTCTTACAATGAAGTCATATAAATAAAACCTATAGTTTTTAACCACTCACCACTTTTTAACAACCAAGATTATCTAATGATAAGAATAAAGAAAAATAATTAAAATAATAGATACCCAGTTAGCTTACTCTTAATTTATTAAATATACTTCAATATAATAAAAAAAACAAAAAGTATTAATAAGGAAACAATTTTTTAATCCCTTAACCATACCGCTGTCGCTGTTGCTTTTGAAATAAGTGGAAAAAAAAATCTACATTTTATTACAATTCGAGTCATAATTAGCCCAAGCATTTTAAAGATTGCCTGTAATCAATTTGGATAATTGACAGATAAAAAGTCATTGGCTTATTGGATGTGGAAAGCGGAGGGCAGACAAAACCCGATACAGACAATTACTTTATTTATTTTATACAGTGTAACTAAAAATATAGCTCAGTGGTGTTAGAAACTAGACCTAACATATTATTCAAGTGTGTAGACTTGACCTCTAAGATAACATGAGGGTCACCTTGCATGTTGCAGTGAACTAGGATGTTGTAACATAAATCAACTCTGTTACTGACCAATACAATGTATTATTGCTTCATTGCTTTTCTTTTAATTAAGAACTGGTTTACTGGCCTTTACAAATTTCATAGCAAATGTGATCATAATTATTTATTAGAAATTAGCTTTCGCTTATGACTGTCCACATGGAATTAAAAAAAAAACAAAACTTAGCAGCCTATGTGTTCTTCCAGACTATCCTCTATGTCAAAAAAATTCATTAAAATCACTTCAGCCGTTTAGGCTACAAAATCTAATAAACATCCATCCATCCATCTGAACTTTCCCATTTATTATATGATACTAATCATTTGAGTAAAAAGGAAATATTCAGTTTACTTGTTAAGGAATGAAAATAATAAAAATTTAATATTTATTTAATTAGTAACAAACAATAAGAGATGAGAGTTATTGAATAGATATTGAGTGTTTATTGGTATACATGTGTAATTTGAGGTGTGGAGCGACTGCAGCAGCTGCTGGGCCTGCTGCCTCTGCT